ACTTAGATTTTAGTACATATCTGTTGCACATACACGAATCGCACCGAATTACAACTGACTAATAACTAACTGTTTTTAAATTATCTTACCTTTATTAGCATTTCAATCAAATAGTATCACAAAAAAATTAAATTTGTTCCAAGCGATTTCAACACTCACTTAGAAGTATTAAAAAAGTCTACATACTTCCCTACTTACTTATCCTACCTATACGCCAAACTCAAATGTTTTTGTATTTTTTTATATTTATATAATTTACGAAGGTAGTAGTTATAGCGGCTATTTGGGAGATCACCACATCACCTCAACGGCCTCCGCCGCGACAGTTCTGTCACGAAGTAAGCTTATTGGGTTGGTTTCAACCCCCAATCATAAATATACTTGACTATTGCCTCTGGAGTGACATTGTTGAAGGCTCGCTCGGTATCGAGGAAGGCCCCACTGCATAATCTTTATGCGTGAAGGTTTCCTCTGACCACTTTACCAATGTGTGCAGGGCGGTATTCACCGACATTTTCTTGCAATAATCATATTGAGCTCTTGAGAGACAGTCTCGAGGAATCGCGTTTCTTATGCAAAGGTCTATCAGTCTGTTTAGCGTTTTTAGCAAAAGCATTTTTAGCAAATCCCTAGGGGAAACATGAGAGCCTTTTCCGGCCTTCGGGATGAATGCAACACTGACTAGCCGCCACTTCCTGAAAGCTAACAAATAACAGCAAACATCTCTGCGCACTCAGCTAAAGCAACAACATGTAAATGTGTGTTCAAATTTTTATTCGAATCAAATTTGCTACAATCGTTCAAACAAACTTATTTTAAAACTTGTGTAGCTGATGTCAGTTTATTTGTTTAACAAGTAGCCTACTCTCGAGAAGGAGCTCTGGGAGCACTCTATTCGTAGTGATGTTTAGATGTGCTTTGCACTTGGCCTAGGAGCTGTTCTGTAATACCTTATCTAGGGAAGGCGACAAAATGGATTCTGGGTATGAATGATGTACATATGTACATATGTGTACAACAGAAAAAACTGAAAAGCAGAAAGAAATGTAGCACCCTGTGCTACTTGGTTGTGTCCACGCTAACTCTTT